TGGCTAGCATGGTCAGGAGCGTTCATGGCCAGAATAGCAAAGTACACGCTGGCAGAGCGGAGATGCTGCCTCCGAGGTCAGAGAGCGCATGACGAGATGGCCGCAACAGCTGAACATGACGGGGTTGCCCCACCAGGGAGTGCAGTGTGGCCCCGGAGGGACTGGTTGGATCATGCTGGCCAAATGTACACAAAGGGGTGTGTGTAGAGGGAAACCAAGGAGGGACGGACAGATGCCTCTTGGGTCATCCCGGTATTCCACATTATCTGGGAACAGCGCCCCCACCACACACACACACACACCCCTGCATCTCCACCGCAAGGCTTCCTGCATCTCTGTTGTAACACTGGGCCCTCAGCCACAGGAAATTGAGTCTCGGGAAGACAGATGACCCAAGTTAGGCCAATGGATTGTTCTCCAGGAATCTGCGCTGGAAGTGCTCAAAGACACAGGTGTTGAGATCCGCTCTGCCGAGTGGTGTTCGCGGCCACACTCCCAGGACACAGTCCATGATCCCAAGGCCCCGGAACTCCTCTCACTCTTCCCTACGAATCAACACCTCCTTCAAAGCCTGAGAAACCTCAATATTTTTATAACAAATTCCCTTTGGGGCTTAAGCTGCTGTGAATCATATTGTGCTATTTGTAGCAAAGAGAAAAAAAATAAGGTAAAGAAAAAGAAGTATGGGGAACCAGCAGTTAGCGTAATGGCTATGTCGCTGGACTCCCATGTAGTCGACCGCGGTTCGCATCCTGGACCCGGTGGCTTAAAACTCACGCCGGGCGCGTGTGCGTGCGTGCCCAAGATCCCGAGAGGAGAATGGAGGAGAAGGGATTGCGGCGTGACCATCCCCCCTGGGGGGTGATTTCTCACTTTCTGTCTCTATGTCTCTCTCTGTCTGTCTGGCGAGCGCACGCGCCCTACAGTGAAAATCTCTCCAAAAAAAAAGAAAAAGAAGTATGGAGACTTGACAGCTCTGAGATCAGATGTGTGACAGCAGCGGCCCCGACACCAGCACATCCTCAGCCACAAAGGCATGGAAACATGGCCAGGTGGCTAGGCCAGGTCCCCCTTCTCTCTTTCCAGAAGACTGTCATTATGAGAATTCTCTCCATGGGGGCCAGCAGATGGCATGGTGGTTGGGGCGCTGGACTCCCACATGGTCGACTGCAGTTCGAGTCCTGGACCTGGGAGCTTGCTTTCTCACTTTTCCTCTGTCTCTCCTTCTCTCTCTCTCACTCTAGTCAAATAAATAAGTAAATAAAGTTAAAATAATTAAGTAAATAAATGGTTAAATAAAATAATTCTTAAAAAAAAAAAGAATTTTTCCTTACAGAGCACATATTATTCACATTGCAGATGAGAAAACAGGTGCTCAAGTTACATGTGCAGCCCAGTTGGAAACTAAGCACCCCTGGTAGGCTAAATGAGGAGAAGCCCTTGTTAGAAACGCAGAGAGAGAAGCCAGCAGATGGAGTAGTGGTGAAGGTGCTGGACTCCCATGGACTTGACCGAGGTTCAAGTCCTGGACCCAGCAGCTTGAAATTCACCCTGGGTACATGTGCGTGCATCCTCAAAATCCCAAGAGAAGAATGGAGAAGGGATTGTGGTGTGGCCATCCCCCCAGGGAGTAATTTCTCACTTTCTGTGTCTCTGTCTCTCTGGCGAGCACATGCGCCCTATAGGAAAAATCTCTCTCTCAAAAGAAAAGAAATAAATACAGAGAGGCCTCCTCCCAGACAACATCAGTGCCAACCTTGGCCCTAAGTCTGTCAACCCTACCCAAACCCAGGCCGCCTGCCATTCGTGCTGTTTTGTCTGAGTACCTCTGTCCCCAGGACCCCAGTGCAACACGGTGCTATTTCTCATCTTCTCCCTAACCCAGATATCTCTGAACATGTTTGTTGGCTTTTGGGTCTTGTCTGTTTTTTCTGTTTGTTTCAATAGATTTGCAGGGCTAAAAAGGAAAGAAAGCCTACAGATATTAATAAAAATAACCATAACTGGGAAACTGCAGTTATAAGGAATCTCTCCGAGCACTGGTAATAGTATATTTTTACTTACTAGCCTCTGGGTTTGATGGGGAGAAATGGAACTCTTATTGGCAGGAGCAGCTTCTGTGGTTGGCTGCCTCTCAAAGGAGTTTAACTTGAACCCCAAAACTAAGACAGAGTCATATATACTCTGTATCTAGAATAGGTGCACCTTACTTAGTGAGGAGAACTGACCCACGGCCTGATCCAGCAGGTAGCCAGACCCTGAGGAGATGCGAACACAGCACAGGGACACGGCACCGGGAGCCACATCCTTCGGCCCCAGTCTCTATGGAGTCTGAGCCCTTCACAGGCAAGGTGGAAAGACCTGGAACATGACCCTTACCTGAGCTGCCATAATATCCAACACGGCCTCTGTCCGTTAAACTTTGGAAACTATCCATCCACATCTTGGGAATCAAAAGACCTTCGACCTGGAAGTAAGATGTTATGAGCAGTGGGGACCAGCAGTTGGCATAATGGCTATGTTGCTGGACTCCCATGTAGTCAACTGCAGTTCGAGTCCTGGACCAAGTGGCTTAAACTCACGCCGGGCGTGTGTGCGTGCGTGCCCAAGATCCCAAGAGAAGAATGGAGGAGAAGGGATTGCGGCATGGCCATCCCCCCAGGGGGTGATTTCTCGCTTTCTGTCTTTCTGTCTCTCTCTTTCTCTGTCTGGTGAGCGCACACGTCCTATAGCAAAAACCTCTCCCAAAAAAGAAAAAGAAAAAGATGAATAAATAAATAAATAAATAACGATGTTATGAGCAGTAGGCCAGCAGGGGGCATACAGGTTAAAGTGGCTGGATCCCACATAGCCAACTGCATGGTATGAGTCCCTGACTCAGTGTCTTGAAAATCACGCCAAGAGTGTGTGCTTGTGTGCCCAAAAATCCAGAGAGGAGAATGGAGGAGAAGGGATTACAGTGTGGCAACCCCCATCTGCAGTGATATTTCACTTTCCCTCTCTCTGTCTCTGTCTCTGGCAAGTACAAGTACACATGCTCTATAGCAAAAAAAAATTAAAAATCACTAATAAAAAGAGAGGTCAAAGCAACATAAACAAATAGATGGACTCGCTCTCTCCCACTGGGGAAGGCCGGGGGCTGTGGCGGTGCTCACTGAGGCTAAAATCCATGTTTGTATCAATAATACTATCATGGGGGACCAGCAGTTAGCGTAATGACTATGTCGCTCAACTCTCATGTAGCCGACCGCGGTTCGAGTCCTGGACCTGGTGACTTAAACTCACACTGGGCGCATGTGCATGCGTGCCCAAGATCCTGAGAGGAGAAGGGATTGCAGTTTGGCCATCCCCCCTGGGGGGTGATTTCTCACTTTCTATCTCTCTGTCTCTCTCTGTCTGTCTGGTGAGCACATGCGCCCTATAGCAAATAATAATAATAATAATACTATCATGGCTGTCTGAGGGTGGCCCTAAAGGAGGTGTCCTTATAGATGTCCCTGGTCTTCATTCAACAACTAGTGGGACAGGTCTTTCCTTCAGGAATGGCAGTCTGTGGGCAGGTGCCAGTTCCCACGAAACTATCCCAAAATGGAGAAAAAACATCAGAGAAGGCCAATTATGAGACCAGCAAATGATGTAGTGGCTATCCACATGGCCAACTGCGGTTCGAGTCCTGGACCTGGCAGCTTGAAAATCACGCTGGGCACATCTGTGTGCGTGCCCAAGATCCTGAGAGGAGAATGGAGAAGGGATTACAATGGGGCCTCCCCCTTGGGGGATGATTTCTCACAGTCCCTTTCACTGTCTCTGTCTCCCCTCGACTACCAATGCAAGTGTGTGCCCTAAGGCAAAAACCTCTTTAGAAAAAGGAGAAGGCCAATTACAAGCAGCCAGGGCGACTTCTCCCATGAATAGGTTTACCTGGAGACACATAAGCATGCCCTGTTCACATAAGCTCCCTGAGGACTGCACAGCTGACCAGGGAGAAATCCGGATGTGGTCCTGACACTCCCTGCTGACCACACCGAACCTGCAGGGACAGGGACTGCACACCACGAAACGGAGAAACTATGCCCTGCTGCACAAGGACTTCTTCCTGAGGCTTCGCCCTGCCCTCTTCCCTAGCTCCTCTCTGCTCCCACTGCCCTGTCCGTGCAAAACTACAAATCCCAGCATGCAGCACAGCCAGCGAGGGCGGGAAGGGAGACATTCAGCCCCTGGTCTGGAATATGCAGTACTCCTGGGTACAGTGGTCCGTATTATACAAGTTGTGTTTGTTTTTATCAGAAGTCACAGGTGCGGTAAGTATAGCCCAAAGCCAAGAAGCAGCTGCCAGGGTGCAACAGGCCAGAGGGCCCGTTCCTCCGTAACCTCACTGCCCTCCAGCCCCAGCCTCCCCTCCTCAGCCACCGTGGATGGTGTGAATGCGCCCTCCTCCGACACCTCGTCCGGCCAGTGCCGGCCTTGCGTACAATTCTGCTACGTCGCTTACCTTTTCAAACACCAGACTAAGACTCCTTAGTTTCAGGGTTCAGGTTAAACTCCATTGCTTTTTTTTTTAAAGAATTATTTCATTTAACTTTATTTATTTATTTATTTTCATTTGACCAGAGAGGGACAGAGTGACAGAGAAAGAGAGAGAGGAGAGAGAAAGTGAGAAAGCAGGCCGTCAGGTGCGGGACTTTAACCCCGCTCCGCCAGGTGGGAGTCCAGCGCCCTTACCCTCCTGCGCCACCTGCCGGCCCCTCAAGTTAAACTCCTGTGAGAGTCAAACTTCAGACTCCAGCCCCTCCGACAAGGTTTCCCTTCTGTTCCAAACAAACTCAGAGTAGTGCCCCAAAGCCTCTGTCTCTCTCCCCTTCATCTTCCTACCCCACCCAGAAGCCTCCATGGCCCACGGCCAGCGGAGGGCCTGCTAGCTCCCACATGTCCCGACGCCAGGACACCTGCACTGCCCACATCCTGCCCGCCCCACAACCTCCTCCTCCGAAGCCTGGCCCCTAAGACTCCTCCCATCTTTCCCAGCGCCAGGCCCCGGCAGCAGCGGCAGCAGGAGGGGAGGGAGAAGCCTGCGGCAAGGAGAGGGCTGTGGTCCTGGCATCCTGCGCTGCCACTTGGCACAGCTCCTTCATAACTGTTCTGCGGTGTTGGTTGGCACACTCGCTAAATCGGCTGTCGTGGATTGGCCCGGGGACCTAGCCGCTGTTTACAAATGTTGTTTGAGTGACTGTGTGGCATTGTGTCCGTGGAGAAAAGCCCTCTGAACTCAGAGCATCTGACCAGAAGAGACCTTTGGGGACACTCCCGTTTGTGCTCTGGAGGCGACTCTGTGGGTTTGGCACCGACTGCCGAGTGCGCGCCAGAGAAACCTCAGCCTGGCCCTGCGCCGCCGGGAGTGGGTGCGGCGAGGCGGGTGGGACAGCCCGTTTAGACCGATCTCGCGATCTAAGGCCAGGAGGCCGGAGGGCGTCTGAACCCTCCGGACTTGGAGAGCGCAATGGGAGACGCGGGTGAGCCTTTAGGAGTTAGGCTTTGCTCCTTGGGGACTGGGACGGTCGAAACTCCGTCCTGAGCCCAGTTAGATAAGATCGGGGACCTCCTCCTGCACTGGACCTCGTTCTGGGTTGGGGGTTCGGCGGGCGACGAAGAAAGGGCAGAGGAGAAGGCCGTCCGAGGGGCAGGGATTATTCTGCGGGCCCTGCGGGCGGGCCGGCCAGTGGCACCGGCGCCAGGGGGCAGCACAGGCGGGCAGACGCACAGCCCGAGGCACGCGCAGGAGGGGTGCTCCCCGGGACAGGGCCTCCCGCCCACACGCCGGTGCCAGGCTGGGCTTCCACAGCCACATGAGGGATTCCTGCGATCGAGGAGTTAGGCTTTGCTCCTTGGGGACTTGGACAGTCGAGAAGGTGCCGTTAGGGGTCCTCTACGATAACGAAGAACCTACCGGGAGGAGCGGAGGGCGCTGCCTCCTCGGCCCGCTGATGGGGGCGCAAGGCAGTCCCCAAAGGTTGCGGGTGCTAAACCCGCATACGCGCATATGCGGTCTCCCTCCTCCCTCTGCAGCTGTGCGTCCAACCAGGAAGGGGCGTCCCAGCTGGGATGAGGCCTTGGGAAGGTTCCGATCTAGAACCAGAGTGTGCGGGGGAGTGAGGAGGGGGCAGGCAATGCTACGGGAAGATGGGGAGCTCCCTAGGAGGGGCGGGGAGCCCAGCCCTGCACAGAGGGGCCAGCCTACCCCTGACCTGGAGAGAGCGCCCCCCCCCCGCAGCCTGGCGGTGGGTCAGCCCGAGTGGGAGGGGCAGGGTGAGCAGCCACACAGGTGCAGGAAATACCTGGGAAGGGGGTCTGGTCTCCCCATTGGTGAAGAGTTTAGACTGGGCCCTGGGGAGCTTTTTCCAGTCCTAGAATCCCTAAAGATGGCGGTGGGAGGAGGAGGCTGAATTTTTTTTTTTTGTTTTTGGACAGGTTTTTGCTATAGGGCACGTGCACTCGCCAGACAGAGACAGAGACACAGAAAGCGAGAAACCACCCCCCAGGGGGGATGGCCACTCGGCAATCCCTTCTCCTCCATTCTCCTCTAGGGATCTTGGACACGCACGCACACGCGCCCGGTGTGAGTTTAAGCCACCGGATCCGGGACTCAAACCACAGTCCACCACATGGGGGTCCAGCAACATAGCCATTACGCCAACTGCTGGTCCCAAGGCTGAATTTAAGGTGGAAGCAGAGAAGACAGGCACACCCACACCCAGAAGCACCCTGGCTCTCCATCAGACCTCGACCAGAGGGACTCTGAGCTCCCACGTGCCACTGGGGCATCCCGTCATGATTCTTGTCACCACAGCTTTATAAACCCTGGGCCCTGACACGCCAGCAGGACAGGTAGGAGGGAGTAAGCCGCCCACCTCCTGTAACGGCTCCGCAGCGTGGGATGGGTTGGGAGAGACTGAAATAACAAAAGCACCGACACGTACAGCCCGAAGAGACAGTCACATAATTTACCATCAGTCGGAATGGACACCGCGCATAGGGCGAGACGGGGCCCTTCCATCCATATGCCAGACGTTAACGCTTCATTGCAGGATCAGGGAATTGCCCAGGGGGGAAAGGGGTGGCCGGCATGCCAATGAGACACCCAGGGGCTCAGGGCCACAACGATGTACCGGCCTATGTGGGAAATGGCAGTATTTCAACAATCCGCCGGCTACAGGCCTGCACACACCCCTCATTACTCTGTTTCTCTCCTGGTGAGTGGCCTGGTCCCCAAGCAGTAGGCCGCTCCTGCCAGCCCCGGCTGGGGGGAAGACGG